AGCTGCTCTGCAAAGAGTTGGTTTTTTGGGCCATGCTCCCTGTTGTGGCAGAGCCAGGCTGCAATTGCCTTGCAGGTATTCCAGGCACAGGGCTGACATGCAGTAGGACTGAGAGCAAAACAAAGGTGTATCTCATCATTCAGAGAGTATCAAGGGCTGCCCCACACTAGAAAGCTATGAAATGGAGGCGTGGTGCTGAGGGACTTGGTTTAGTGATGGAATTGGCAGTGTTAGGTCAGTGGCTGGGCTCGGTGATCTTTCCAACCTAAATGATTCATTGATTCTAGAAGCTTTGGTTTTTGCAGACCTGATTTTCAAAAGCACCAGGCACAAGCCTGCTCTCACACTGCTGTCTCAGTCTCCATTTGGAGCCTTCAACAGCCCAAGATGACCTTTTCAGATGGCTTACATGGGAAACTGTGCCAAATAAAGTGAGAAAAAATAAACATCAGAGAGCTCTCCTGGCTAAACCCATCACTGCCAGAGGAGCCAGTTCTGCCTCTTGTTGAGGCAGAGGCATTTTTACCGTGTGGCTTCAAAGATTTACAGGTCACCAGGGTCACCCCACTCACTTTGCTGCAGGGTCCCAGCCTGGCATCGCCCCATCTGCACAGCAGTGAGGCCAACTTAGGATTCAAGAGAGGAGCCTCCCACTCTGTTTTTAAAAGCAGAACTGATATTAAAGGAAATTATCATACATAATATTTCAGCATTTAACTCTTCAAAGAATCAAGCTCGTCCCATAAGGTCCTTGCATAGAGCAGAAGGGCATGCCAGGTAGGACACAGAAGTATCTGAAGAAGCTGCTGGGAGTGAAACCAGTGCTCTGCAGGCATGGAAGCTGTCATTATGCTGCAGGTTTTGGAGACTGGGGATAGGGAGAATGAAGAAGGGCCACAAGGATGATGAGGGGTCTGGACTATCTCCCTTACGAGGAGAGATTGCAGGAGCTGGGCCTGGTTAGTCTGGACAAGAGCAGACTGAGAGGGGATCCCATCAATACAGATCAACATCTCAAAGGCAGATGCCAGGAGGATGGTGTCAGACTCTTCAGCGGTGCCCAGTGACAGGATGAGGAGCAGTGGCTGTAAGCTGAACCAGAAGTTTCACCTCAACACAGAATCACAGACTCATAGAATATGAGGAAGAACTTCCTTCTGCGGGGGGTGGCAGAGCACTGGAACAGGGTGCCCAGGGGGGCTGTTGGGTCTCCCTCTCTGGAGACATTCAAACCTGCCTGGACACGTTCCTGTGTGATCTGCCTTGGCAGGGCGTTGGACTGGATGATCTCCAGAGGTCGCTTCCAACCCCAACGATTCCGTTATTCTGTGATTCTGCAACTTTGCTTTCATTCCAAGCAGGAAATTTAACTCTAGGAGGAGTTAGGAAGCTACAGGCTGGATCAGATCGGGTCCACTTTTCCTTCCAGATACCTCCTGGGACAACATCCTCCAACTCCAGGAGACATTTCTGGTGAAGAGTTACTGAGGCCCACAGAAACTGCACTGGGAATTCCTGGTGCTCTCCACAGATACCAAACATACCTGTACCAGTACGGGTTTTCATTCAGGACACTCACTGCATCACTTGGGGTATCTGAGCATTAGCATTAGGCACACTTTGTTTCTTTATCACTGCTTACAGCATATTGCAGGAGCACTGGTTCAAAAGCAGCATCATTGATTTCTTCTAATTGTAAATCCTATAGAAAGTTTTAAGCTTGCGACAGTCCCAGTTTTGCTCTCAATGGAGCCAATAAAAGTGAAGAGTTGCACCCAGGTTACTGTCATCACAGCAATAAAAAGCCAATGTAATTGAAAAGTGAATCAGGGAAACTGTCAGACTGGGGAGCAATGATAATAGCAGAAACTACCTGAGAGCCCAAGCCCAAAGCAAAGTCTTGTCACTGGCTGCACAGAGCTGGAGCCCATTCTGAACACACTCCTGTGCTGGTACATATCTAACAGAGGACATGTCCCCTGTGTGGAAATAGATACTAGAGCACAGAGCAAAGCAGCAGCAATGACCATGTGCTTGCTAAGAGGCCAAGCACTCAGTGGGTGAGCCAGCAAAGGTGATTTTGAACCCCATCTAAGATGGTTCCTCTTCCTAAAAGGCAAAATTACAGTGGAACAATAAACCAGTAATTTCTCCCTATATTAGCATAAAGCTTAAAAGCAAAAGTTGGAGATGCAGCAGCAGATGCATATTTGTCAAGAGACCAATTATTTCCCACTAGGTAGATTAACTGGTGCAGGAAGACCCAAACCCCCACAAGTCATTACTGTTCCCACATTGTTAAGATCAGACAGTAAGCATGGTTGTGTTTGTAATCCAGATAGCTTGAAGCAAAGCAACAAGCAGCATCACAGAAGACTCTGAAAAAGCCTCTTAGTGTCAATGCTGGTATAGAGGGAGACTAGGAAAGACTTCTGAGAGGGAGAGGAAAGAAGCAGCATATGTCAACATTGGAAATGGTATGTACTGAGGTGAGTTCACACCTGTAGCTCTGGAGGCTGGCACAAAGGAGGAGGAAGCTGATTTGGAGATGTTGTTCTCCCAACACAGTCATCTTGGGACATAGGGAGGCAGGTACTGAAGAAGTCAACTGTCTTTTACTCTACATAAGGACAGGATGGATGCAGCATATCGGAGGTCTCTTGTCCTCAGATCACTGCCCATGTAAAGTCTGTGAACACTTCTAATCAAGTCTTAAGGAGGCTTACACATCCCTGCAGGTATCCTCTAAAAAGGATGCAAGTAAAGAGCAGGTCTTGGGGACAACGCTCTGGGCTATGAAGCACTCACAGGGGTGAGCATCCACCTGGTAATAGGTGGAATACAGATTTTGAACAGCTTCTAGAGAGACTGTTCCCTGAAAGGGGAGAAAGCAAACTCATAAACTACAGCAACAAAAGTTTGTATTGGCCTCAGAGAACTGTCCCTGAGCTGACAGCAAGAAGTAAACTCCAGTGCAGGTTGAATATCACACCCTGATGAAGTTGGGGTGGGGTAATTACATACAGACAGACTGCTGCTGTTGCTATGACGCAACCTCTAGGATGAAATTATGGGTTTGGCATATGGATGGACTCAGAAAGATGCTGGGGCTCAAGTTCAGGTTTGAGTTTCTCCAAGGCAAAGACACCAACAAAGTGCAGGGTAAGTGGTGGATGAGGCATCATTGCTTTTACCTCCGTAAAAGTGCCAGTGTGCAATCAGTACTGCAGGAAGCAGACCTGGGAGGATGCAAACCCTGGGCAGCCTGAAGGCACTCTGCAAACCTCCACTAACAACGCCTTCCAACACCGCTGTGAGGCAACTATATGCATTAACTCCCATTTCCACACCTCTAGTTGCCAAGAGAAATGCTTTCCATAATGATGCGGGTTGAGAAGTACACAGCTGCTTGATTTTTACTTGCTCTTTTAGCATTAAAGCAAGCAGAATGCAGGTGCTGAGATTTCCTCACGCACAACAAAGCAGGATGGAAATCTGTGACTAAATACCAGGGATTTGTAATCCAGTTTTGAACTGTGCAACAAGGAGCCACTGGTGACAATTGTGCGCTCGCTATTTTTAGCTGGGCAGTGTGAACGCTGAATCCCTGAGGAACAGGGACAGGAGCAAAACCATCAAACCCATCAGGCTTGCTTTTCAGAGAGCTCATCTGGGGCAAAGAGAGGAATTGTGTCTTTTGCCCCTGCCATCCACTTTTCCACACATTTTCTGCACCAGGTTTTTGATTGTTGGAAATGATAAACAAATAGAACCGTAGAAATCACTGCTATAAATGGAACAATATTAAATGTGTGCAGGTCTGCCTGTGCACACATATACACATAAATATTTCAGGGTCCAGATTTAATCAAGGTGCACTTAATTTTCCTAGTTAACCACTTTGAGGATTAATGTTTTTGCATCTATGCAATGTGCAGCAGTGGTGAGGGAAGACACCCTTAGATTACACACCAGGCAGCTCAGAACTGATAAGGTCTGTCCTGTCCTCATCGGGCTTGAGGGGAAAGGAGTAGGAACTTCTTGCTTCACTATTTCCAGAATGCTGGCCGTGCAATCTGACCTTATGCTCTTGGTTGTAGAAGTGGGCACAAGCTTACATCACCTTTCCTTCATGGCAGCATTAAGCCAGAGGCGTTTGGCCTTTTGGGGTTTCTTGCAGGTGGGTTGTTTAGAGAAGGGCATACAGGTCCTGGTGCTCTCTGTTTGCTGCTGGCAAGCCTGTGGTTTGGGAGAGTTTAAGGTGCTGTTTAGAGGAGGGTCATCTGCAGCACAGTGGGTGACTTGGAGCATTACCACCCTTCTTTACTGACTGCCCTGGAGGCTCAGGGAGATTCATATCCTCACCTGGTGCTGCAAGTCAGCCAATGTCCTCTCTTCTGTACCTTGGCAGATATTAATACCACAACCCTTACACATGTGTAAAGTTCCTCTGCTGCAAAAATGCTAATTCCTATCTTTTCTGCAGAAACCATCTGGTTTAAATATCTGGTGTGTGTAAGAATAACATTTACCTACGTGATCTGCAGCTAAAACGGAAATGTTTTCTGCTTGTGCTTACCACAGAGGCCCAATTGGAGAGTTAGAATGTAGAAAAAGGAGCAGAGAGAAGGTTGTGTCTCATGGCAAGGTCTAAGAGCTATTAGGGTAATGTCTCAGGGTTTTATCTCTGTTGGGATAGCCAGGACTGATACCAGATTGCTGCACCTCCACCCTGGAAAACCAGTCCTGGCATAGGACTCTGTTTCTCTTCTGCTCTACCAACATGAAGTAAGCTGGCAGGAGCTGTGGCAACATCCATTTCCAAAATTCACACTGTTAGTGTTAAATGAACCCAAAAGAGCAAAATTTGCAAAGTTTTATTGAGGTGTTGAAATGAGGTTGAAAAAAACCTATGAGCAGGGAGCTGCAACAAGCCCACATGCCTCTTCCTCCAAGTACCAGCCCTGCGGTGGCTGAGTCTAACTCTGTTCTTCCCACAGTTTGACATGCAGAGGATAACACTGGAAGAGCTGAAACACATCCTCTACCACGCCTTCCGGGACCACTTAACAATGAAGGACATCGAGAACATCATTATCAATGAAGAGGAGAGTTTAAATGAAAACTCTGGCAACTGCCAAACAGAGTTTGAAGGTGAGAAGGAAAGTTTCTGTACAATTTTCTTTCTGCTTCACCTGTAAAGCTCACTCAGATCTGTGACATGCAATGGGCAAGGATGCATGGAGTTAGCATGGAGTTACTTTAGAGTAAATAGCAATGACACAGAGAACTCAAGAGCTGCCATTAGCCTTTTCCCATGTGGTCTAAGTAAAGCTGATCCTGTTTCAGGGAGGAGGATGAACCAGTAGGTGCCTTATGGCTCTCCTTCCTCTGATGGGATTCAGGCAGAGGGATGTGCAGCCCATGCTGAGGTGAGTACTTAAGATAGACTGAATTTCCCTACAGAAATACACACATCTCATCCCATCATTGGAAGACCTTATTGGCACTGGGTCCTGCCCTAGCAAGCTGTGTTAGGCCTCCACCAGTTTTCTGTTGTCTTCCCATAAACAGAAAGATCTTCTGCTCTGGGCTCCCAGGGAATATGCAATATTCAGGCTAGATATATATGCAATATATGCAGGCTACACAGGTACACCCCAGGACAGCTCATCTCAACCCATCTGAGAGTGTCTGCAAGATCAAGGTCTAAGCAACCCTCAGAAGTAGCTAAAGAAAGGAAAATGTTTGCTTTGACTGCTGTAGCTTTACACAGCATCCTCTCAGCACTGCAACAAGACCACCAAGTAATCAGCAACTGTGACCAGACAGAGCCTCAACTTTTACAGTGGATTTTGCATTCTGAATGGAGTCAGCACTGGCAGGAACATCTCCTATTTTCAGCCACTTCAGAAGAATCATTTACTTGGCCAGAGGAATTTGTTCTGCTCCAAACAGTTGCTGGTTTGATCAACTAAACATACAAAATCATCTAAATCAACAAACATACTAAATCATCTCAAGTCGCCCCTTCCAACCCAAACCACTCTATGATTGGGTTGGAGAACTTGATGTGGAAAAAAAATGTAAAGGATTTGGCTTTACTGAACCTCAAGAAGAAAGTCTCGGGAAGATCAGGGATGCATGCCCCATCCTTACCAGTGTTCAAGGCCAGGTTGGACACAGGGGCTTGGAGCAACCTGCTCTAGTGGAAGGTGTCCCTGCCCATGGCACGGGGTTGGAACTGGATGAGCTTTAAGGTCTCTTCTAACCCAAACAAGTCTGGGATTCTGTGGAAAGTCCAAGGAGATACTTAACAGAGAACTTCAGGGTTTCTGCACATTGCCCTGGGACAGCTTCTGAGCTTTCCCACCCACAGCAATGCCACTTTGCATAGATCATTTCAGGTGAAATTCTGATACTCTGAGGGATCAAAGAGCCTCTGAAAGGGCACAAGGCAGAGACACTGAGTGTTGTTCAAACAAAGGATAAACAGTGCAATTCTTAGCTTGGCTAATCAATGGGATTCAGCAGCTCTAGCCAGCGCACTCACCTTCTGCTAGATACTGCAGAAAAGAGGTAGAAGAGCAGAGCTGAATGTTAAGAAGCCTGCAGGAGGGAGGCAAGGAGCATTGCTCTTCAAATCCAGCCAAGCAGCACTGGGTTTTTGTTCCTCCTGGAGAGCAGCAGGGAGGAAGAGAGGCTTTACTTACATAAATGGAGTCGCTAGTCCTCACTGACCCCGTGATTCAGTGGAGGCATGAGCCAGCTGTCACCACAGCAAGAGACATGCAGGCTTCTTTCAGCTTCACTACTTGGGTGAACTATTACTCCAGTCACAAAAGAAAAATTGGGTCCAAAAACCTAAATGCTCAGAATCTCATCCTGGAAGTCCCAGCTTCCAAAAGTACAGCAAGAACAGCTTTTCTCGTGGGATGTTGGCATTGCTGGTGCTAGGCAGAACCTAGAAGCAAAACAGACCCTTTTTTTAGATGTTAGAAATACACACACACGCACAAATCCACCAGAGAATAAAGATCAACTGAACACTGCCAACAAAGATGCAAAGTTTTGCTTCAGGTCCCAGAAGAAGGGGGACAGTTCTGGTCCATGGCAGCTCTGACATGAGCATTTCTCCCAGGAAGGGCAGGCTGAGAGCAGGTTCTGTCCCTGCAGGTCTCCAGGCTGGATATGCCATTACCCAAATGACATACTTGTGCCTTAAGCGTTCCCATTTCCCAAACACTAAGATCCCCATAGGGCTCAAAAGCAGAAATTATAGGGCCTCATGGCATAAATCAATGGTACCAAGGGAGAGCTGTCATGAAGTTTGGACAGCATCTCAGTCTAGCTTTAAATGGCTGTATAGAACTGTATCCATGTAAGTCAGTCACCTTTTACTCACTTCTTAATTAGTGGAGTGAAAAAGATGCTTTTTGGGTATAATTTCTCAAGCTTATTTTAGGTGCTACCTTGGGTAAGATGAATTGCACCTTAAAGAGCACCTATTTCTTTCAATTCTACAGGTAGCCTAAAGGGACCAGTTTAAAGGCTCACATCTATATTTAATGTACATTTCACACACCCCACTGTAGCACCTCTAACTATGGGTAGGAATGAAGCCAGGATGAGCCCCAATGGTTTTCACTGAGATTTGGGAATGACTCTTAAGTGAAGAGACTGAGCAGATGATATATTCAGTAGTACCATGCTGAAATGGGGGATCTCCACTCACTGTCACCTCTGACTATGTTCTTGCCATCAAAGAGAAGCCCCCAAACCCTTCTCTGTCCTGTGGACAGAGATATTCCCCCCTCCTCCACACCTGGGGTTAAGCTGGCTCAGCCCCACGTGAGCAGATTTCTGTAATTCTCACAAATTTGCCATTTTGGCTTCTTGTCACAAGGTCTTTACAACTATATAATGTCACTCCTTTATCTGCATGGATGATGATACCTTACATCTCTCTCCCACACTCATATAAACACACAACCACACACACACTTTAACCAAAATACAATATTTATATTATGGTCAGGGACAAGGGCAGGATTTTGTTCAGTTCGCTCTAAACATTAGAGTCATTTTCAAGACATCGAGTCTAGGCTTACATTACAACCTCCCCTCCTATAGATCATAGAATCACAGAATGGCTTGGGTTGAAAAGGAGCTTAAGATCATCTGGTTTTTTAGGGCAGGAGAATGAAGTTGAGAGCCAAGAAGAGTGTATGTTTTTATGAGAAGAGGCACAAGAAAAAGGACATGGGTTTGCAGCGACCTTGTACAACCAAAAAATCCTAGTACAAAAATAATCTGCCTGGCAGTTCCTTTTACCCAAACACTCATGACATCAAGCTGGTGGCAGTCAGGAGTGCCGGCTGGTTACAGTGACCCATGCTGTCTGCCATGGGTATTTCATCCTTAGCCTTGACACTCAGATTAACTGGATGTACAAGAGCTGCTGGCACAGCTCCCCTCCCTGCTCCTCACAAACAAGCACTGGGAGCATCCACTTCTCAGCTAAAGGCTTGAGAATGAAAAACTGCCCTCTTAAAATGAAAATAACTCCTGGCAGCCAGAGAAAGCAAATATCACTCACCTTTGGCAGGGTTATGACAGAAGCCACTATAAATACACTGTAGCTGTTCATGTTAGCAAGCCTTTTTCTGCAGGTAAGAAACCTCTTAGCGCTTATCCTTGACCATCTCAAACCCATCATGGGCATCATGACCAGCTCAGCAGCCACAGCCAGTGGACTGGTGCACCCTGAAATGGAATGGACCCTTTAACCTCATGTCCTGGTGAAGAAGTTACAGTGAAGTTGTAGTGATAGGACAAGGGGTAATGGGTTAAAACTTAAACAGGGGAAGTTTAGATTGGATATAAGGAAGAAGTTCTTTACTGTTAGGGTGGTGAAGCACCAGTTAGCAGGGAGGGCAAGTGGTTCTTCACATTTAAGAGGACAATTCACAAAGCAGCATGTACTTGTGTTCACACTAAAGAAAGTAATTTCAGCTTCTTTGTCTCCCTATGGATTGCTAGAGGGCAGAGGAACTGTAATACTCATCATCTTCCTGGAGTAATTCCTACTGAGCCCCAGCCAGCAACAAGAGGGTCTGTCTGGGTTTGCAACACCTCTACATTTCAGCACAGACCCTTCCCCTTTCCTCTGGGGTTCTTTGGTAGGTTATTCAACTATTTGGTGTACCTTCAGTCAATAAAGAACAATAATGATGATTTACCTGTATCCTGCTGCCTTAAAGCTCTGTTTTTACTTGATGCTGTAACAACAGCCTGAAGAAACTGTTCAACTAGGGAATGCTTCTGCAAGAAGCACTGAACATGCTTTACTCTTTCCCTTTGGAGAGTTGCCATCACAAAAAGCCTTGGCCACTCTTTAACTGCTGCTTCTAGTCACCATAATCAGCACCAGAGCCCCATACTGAATGTCAGTGCTGACTGTGATGGCTTGTGTCACTGTTTCTTTCTGCTGGCTGGGAGTGATATCAAGGTACAGAAATAATAATAGAAAAGTAAAGAAAGAAATAACTAAAGCTGTGATTTAACAAGCTTTTCAACATGCCGGAGCATCCCGCACAAAGCCAAGGAACCACAGTATGGATTCTGAATGCATTATGAAAGCAAGCAAAGGAATCAAGGAATAGAGCAAGGCAAGCAGAAAGCAAGTAATATTTAAGAGAGCTGCTGTAAGGGGGATTTCATTGTCTGCACAGAATACAGCAAGTCCCATGGAGTGCTGGTAGTGCCCTGGGCAGCTTGACTCAAAGTGCTGCCTAACGAGGGCTTCTTGTGCCTCTGGCACTGAGCTGACGCTGGGAACCGCATGGGAGCTGGGATTTGGACATAGGCACTGCTAAATCCTGGCCAGAGGAGGTGGTGGGGGATGAAGCAAGTGTTCAAACCGCAGCATCCAGTGCTCTCTGTGCAGCGAGGTTTAAGCCTGGATCAGGAAAAAGTTTTGTTTCCCATATATTCTAAAACGTTCTCCTATACTTTTCTAAACACAGGCCCTGGAGGCATATCGCAATTATGAGCTTGTTGCCAGTCACCTGAAAGTCTCCCACCTTCACAAGTCCATACATAAGAACACAACAGGTACACATCCCTTCTCAGGCACAAACAAGACCATGTGTTACTGCCCATAGTGGCAGCGCATCACTATCCATCCCAAATATGAGGATTCTCTGTGATTATCTCCAGGACCTCCAAGGCCTTTTCAAACAGATCAATATTCACATTACTCCCATACCATATATTGTTCTGATATTCATAAAGTAGGGAGGCTAACACAGAGCTCAGAACTGGCTTTAGCAAGTCACAGCATGAAGCCTTCAAATGCTAAAAATCCCAACTCTGTCTCATTTTAACTACTGCGAATTATGTTCACCTCTTTTGGCAATTATCCTGCAAGCATTCATTTGAAAAGATTATTAATAAGTCTGAATTTGCTTAGGCACAGAAAACAGAAAGACAGTTTGGAAAAATGACTAACATACTGTGCATACTCATACTGTCTTTTTAAAGTATTGTTGGGGAGCAAATCTTGAATCTCTGCTCATTCCCAGTTGACCTGGATGAGACTAAGGGATTCACAGCAGACCAACGTTTCATATTAAAGAACTCTAGAGAAAACTTCATAAAGAGCTTTAAAAGAAATACACAGAGAAAACAAAACACACCTAGAAGAAATTCAAACCCAGTTGAGAGAGAAAGGACTTCCTGCACTATGAGAGGGTGGTCTAATAGGGAAGTTGGTTTGGAAGTAATGAAAGGTAACGTGGTTTATTTGGAAATGTCCCAGGAGGGAGAGGTAAGAACTGGCTGGTGCAGGGGACCTCTGAGGTGTGGACTAGAGGGTTCTGCCAATCAGAGGCAAAGGAGGATTTCTGTGCTCAGCTGATCCTGGTGGAAAGCAAAACCCTGGCCCAAAAGCTCATCTTTCCCATGTCTTCCCTTGCAGTGCACGCCCAGAAGCAGAACAGACAGACCTGTGTACGGAAGAGCCTTATCTGCGCGTTTGCTATGGCCTTTATTATAAGCGTGATGCTGATTGCGGCCAACCAGATCCTGCGGAGCGGCATGGAGTAGCCTCTCACCATGACACTGTGAACCAAACTGACCATGCATGCGCATGCCACCGGGTGAGCTCCCCCCGAACCGACTCTCACACGGCAAAGAGACAGAGGCAGGCAGATAAAGCACCATTCGACAAGGAGCCTGAGGCCAGCAGCGTAATGTGTCTTGTGAATCAACTACATTCTTTTGGCAGGGACATAAAAGGGCTGTCTTAATGCTTTAAAGGTTTTGTTTCCTAATGCAATAAAAAAATAATATACAGGAGTCCCAACTTATTGCTTCAAAACAGCAATGGTAACTTGGAAGAGACTCATATCCAGCAGCCTGTGTGGCAGTTTTAAGGAGGCACAGCCTCATGACTTATTGCAGCAGGGCTGTCTTTTAACCTAGGGGCCGACTGACTATTCCACGTAGCTCTCCGCTGGGCCCACATTCCCAGGAAGTTGATCGTAGCATTGCCACAAGCAAGTTCTGTTTGTTTCGTTCCATGTACGCCAGCTTCACCTTGTTTTTCCCTTATGACCATGCCTTTGAGTTCATGGCATTAGAGGGGAGCTAGAGCATCCTTGTACAGTATTTTCAGAGTAAAAAGAAGAGAAGAATTTGCCAGCATCATACAAAATCTCTATTTTTGCTTCATAAATGCCGCCTTTGACACAAGACTGTGGGGGAGCACGAGTCCCCTTGCCATTTTATTCCAACCGTGAATCAGGGCTTAAGAAGCATCACCCGTTTTCACACATCTCTGAGATTTGTGCAAAGTCTTCCAACCGACTCTGCAACCACCAGCACCAGTTAAAACTCCCTCTATTTGGTCCTGTCTATACATTCAGCATTTGCTTTCCAGAAGTTTTGCCTTTCTTCTATACTGGTCTTCAATAACCTCACCTGAGATTAGAATCATGAGGAAAGCTCAGAAAGAGCTTTCCTTCCTTCTTCTCCCCTGTGCAATTTCTTTGTTTTATTTCCTATGTCCTGGTTGTACTCTGCAGTGAAACCTCCATGTCAGATACCTTCTCATGGAGAGTTCATATTTTCACCTACATGGTATTGTGTGATTTTGACCAGCTCGCTGCTCCAGTCCCTTGCAGGAGCCATCCCACCACCACCATCCCATGGATAAGTTCCAAAGCTGAAAAGCAGACCACAGCAAGAGGAGAAGGAATCAAATTAGAGCCTACCACCATATGTTACATAGTGTGTCAGACTTTCAGATCCTGCAAGTGTTAGTTAATTTTCCTGGATGAGATTATAAAGAGCAGCAGGGAGAAGATGCAGTCATGAAGACTAGAGATAACACGTCCCATGGAAAGCAGAAGGACTTGGAGAAACTGCAGCCAGGATACAGCAGAAAGCATTTTTCGTTTTAAACTTGTCACAGATCCTTGCATTTACCTTCGGATGAACTGTGCACCTGTGTGTCACCCCAGGAAAGATCTGATTTCCTTGTCCTCATGGGAGAGGTTTCCCAGCCAGTGCTGATGGAGCTGGCATGGGAAGTGCTCATGGAGCAATCCACAGAGGCACCTGGGCACTGGAGTTGTGGTGGCCTCATGGTGCTGGCTGGGTGAGCTCCCGAAACCCCGAGGAACAGTGGGATCTTGCTCCTGTAAATGTAGGTGACTGTTTCCTGTGTCAGAAGAGGGGCAGGATGGCTCCCCAGGGGACTGCAAACCACCTCTTTCCCCATCCTACACAGCAGCCTTTGACTTAAGCCTGGATCCATCCCAAAGACTTGTTTCAGGTCTTTCTTTGATTGCAAGTTCAATTGGTAACATTTAACCTGTACTTTTTACTAGTCTAATTTAAAAATCTGCTTCTTGTTGTACTGTCTCCCATCACCCCCTTAAAACTCATGTCACCCACCTTTGGATTTTCACCTCCACATGGTTGCCATTTTCCTGGTGCCTCCTCTCATATCACCAAAGATGACATCTGTCTTTTCCAAAGCAGTTATTCTTCCCTGCCTTTTCACAAACACAAACTTCTGTATTTCTTTTCTGCTGTGACTAAGGGAGGTCAGCTGAGAAATATTCCACAAAAAAATTGTTATATCTCCCAAAAGATGGAGATGACACTTATGATTGCTATAGGGCAGCAGTGGACTCCAAAACAGTGGAAAAATCATAGGCAAGCTCTGAGGGTGGGTTGTGCATTGCTGGGGATTCAAGGCACAGTCCCAGCACTCACTGCACTGGACTCTGCAGATAATGAGCTTTGAGAACATTTTTAGGTTCCAGGGGCATGTGAAAAGGTGGCACAATGGAAAAAGTCTAAATGTTACTTGCCACTGAGCAACACTTATTTTTTCCTTGTAACTGTGCTGGAGTGAACACAGGCTGCAGATGGAGATGGAGCAGAGAGGTGGGCACAAACAAACAGCCCTACTCAGTGACGGCAGACACACAGGGCAGAGTGGTGCCTCTCCACTGAGTCCAGAAACACAGGCTAAAACATACAAACCAGGTATTTCTCCATGTTTTTATCACTCATCTGACAGCTAATACCAGGCAGACTCCCAGTTGTGAGACCTACCTGATGGAGGAAATGAGGGTTTGCATTTCTTTGAGCTTTCTGGATGGGTCCATAATTTCTACATGCGTGCTCCATCAAAACGGTTGTAAATACAGTCATTTTTCAGTGTCATTCTTCACCTTGAAGCTTCATTTGTAAAACCAAATCTATAATTAATATATTGGTAAAAGCCATAGCCTGGTATCAGTAGAGTTCATTGCAAAACTCCCCACTGATTTTACTGGGTACAGGATTTGGGGGGGGTTGGGGTTTGCTTTTTCTGTAGGGAGCCCAATTTATCCATTATGAATCAGTGCCATGTCTTGCCAGAGGTCTCCTTTTCCTTCCTGGAGCAGCCTTTCCCCATCTAAAGGTGTCTTGAAGAGAACCCTTCTTTAATCTGTCAGGATCTTCTGGTAGCTGGTGGCAATGCAGGATGGATCAGGCCAAGCCATTTCATCCTTCCCTCCCTCTACAACATTTCTACCAACACCTTTCTATCCTTCCTAGCCAGCAGCACTGGCCCTGCATCTCTAACCTACCTCCCTACCTCCATTTATGTAACATCCATTTATCTTCTTTTTTTCCCCTCTCTACACAAAAAGGAGAAAAAAAAAAAAGGGGGGCTTTTTGTTGCTTTTACAGACAGTAGGTAAAAATAGAGCAGTAAAATTTTGATTGGAACCTGAAGCTTAGGGGGAAGAAGGTGAAGAATCAAAGAAATGAAAATAAAAAACCCCACATCCATCCTTTAAAAAAACCCCAAAACTATTTAAGTGCTGATTAACATACTTTAAAAAATACCCAGACTGCAGCAGTGCTAGGTAGAGCTGTCAGAATAAGCACTAAACTTATGATCGTGCCAGTTACATGAGAATTTAAGTGTCTTTTCAGCACTGCAATTCAGTATGAAAAGGAGATTGCTATGGCAACCCTGGCTGCTCGTGACATGTGTGCCACTGTGTCGGAGCAACACGCAGCAATTCCAGACGCTCTCCCAGCTGCACTGAGGATGGACAAACACCAGCTCAGGACAGTGTTTCAGCTCATGGATCAGCAAACTATAAGCACCCCAAAGATTGCTGTCTTAGCCACAAAAAAGCGTGTGCAATTAAACAGACATGCTCAGGGAAGGCTTAGAGATGGACATGGTGACTGTAGCTTGAGGAAGGCTTTGGTTTTGTTTGGGAGCAAGTGAAATCACCACAGCATAAACACTGTGCTGTGCTTGTTGAGGACTCCTTTGGCAGGTCCTTCATGTAGGGATCGATCTCTAACAGGAAAGATTTGCGTTACAGCTTCTGTAAGGAACAGGGCTGCATCACTGAGAGCTGTTGGCTTTAACCATTGATAACCATTGGCTTTAACTTTGAAGGCATATCCCGATTTTCTGCTGCCGGAGAAGATGACAGAGGGAACAACAGGCATGTGGCATGCTGAAATACTATGAAGTCCACAGAGAAATGAATTCCAGCAACAGCTGCTGAAAGAACATTTCTTACCTGTCAGGTCCATAGGGTCAGCCCTGAAGAAAACCACAGGTGAGCAGTTCCCAGGCAAGACAAGTGCATCATGGTGGTGACAGTGGCCATGACAGGCTATGCCACCCAAGGACTTCATTAGGATCTGACCATCTTGACAAGTCTGCCACTCAGAAGTAATTTCTAATGATGAGAAACAGCATCAACAGTAATTTAGAGAATTAAACAGGGTGGGCAACTGGAAAAAGCCGGCTTTGTAAGGGAGAATTTGGTCCTCATGCTGTTGGAGGTCAGGTACATTAAAAGAGAGTTGACAAAAAGAAAACAACTATTTTCATGTTTGACAACTACCCACAAATATACCAGCTACTGTTAGCAGACACAGGACAAGGGTCTCCTGTAAGCAGAAGTGTGGGAGGTGGTAGGAGACCCAGCTACCTGCCCCTGCTCCCAGGTAAGCTAGAGCTGAGTATCTGGGTAACATCTGGTGATCTGAATGTATTTCATACAGACTGTTCAGTGGTTACTGGGAGCTCATATGCTGGATATGGTGCAATTATGTAAAAGAAAAGATATATACCATCTTTTTAAGCTAGGGCCAATTCAATGGGTTGTGGTTCTTTTTTGGTCCTTTGCCTGTAAGCAATAGGCTAGCAAGCAAGCAAATCAAGATAGAAAGCATACCCAAGGATGGTACTCTGGATGGCTAAAGTCTGACAAGCTTGGATGAGCAAAGCACCTACTGACAAACCAACTCCACACTGCACCTTTCTGCCTCTGCAGAAGACCAAAACATCTCCTGGGATGGCCAGAGGACTGTGATGGCCATCTGAGGTCCAGTGCTGGCTTTGCCTGAGATGACACACTGCTTTGTAGAGTGCTTGGTGCAAGAAGACTCTTCCTCCGTTGTGCTCACGTGCACAGAGCAAGCAGTGCTGCAAAGGGCTGTCATTGCACAAATGCAAGAAGTGCACAGTCCCAAGTCAGACTTACAGCTGAGAGGAGAGAAGCAGTAGGAGGAATACATTAAGATCACTAAGAATGAAGTTCCCTATTTTACCCACCCGTGTAATAAATTATTTAGTTTCTGTTTTACGGATGACTATTTGAAAGAAGAAAAACCAACTCTTTAAAATGAGGATCTGATGAAGTATCTTTTTTTTCTTGGCTCTGAATCATGCTTACATTCCACAGATGAAGATGTACAGAACCTGCTGGGTTTCAATCTATTATTTTACTGTACTGTGATCTCACAGTGCAATTACATTT